ATATATATATATAAAAGAAATGTTCAAAATTATTAGATAATTTTTCTCTGGAACATATTCTTATATTATCAAAAATAATTGAAAAATCGATCGTTTAACTACGCAATCGATTAATCGTTCTAAAAATTTGTTTCGATCAATTTTACGTACGAATAATAAGTATATATATTTAAGAATAATATTAAATGGGGAAATCAATTTGTTGTAATATATATTGTCATTGAAAAATTTTCTTTGAATAAAAAGAAAAAGTTAAATATAAAAGGGTAAGTCATGGAAAAAAAATGTCTGTGTAGAGCAGCTCGAAGAATTTGTGTTTCAAAATAGAATATATATATATCACCGTGTGAATCTTAACATTCACTTAAATTTCGGTCTTTCACGGTAACAAATATATGAATAATGTTGGTAAAAAGAAATGTAAAAAAAAAATGAGTAAAAAGTTAAAGAACGAAACAAGTAAATGTAACTAAATACATATGTAGTACATACAAATAACTAACGATAAGTTAATTTATCCGAAGTGGGTGAAAGATCGAAATTGAATGATATTAGGATTCCCATGATCGATTGGTGTATGTCCGAAATATTATAAAACGTACAAGAAAAAATAAACCTAAATGTTCGGTCTTTTACCGAATTTCACATATTTGATATGTGTTGACCAATTCATCGTGTGAATCTTGACATTCTCCAATTTCGATCTTTCACGGTTAACACATATTATTAAGAATAATGTCGGAAAAAAAGAAATTGAAAAGATAGTTAGAGAACGAAGGAAGCAAGTAACCGTAGTTAAAAGTCTGCCGCGGCTTCTCGTGGAGGTTGCTACCGAGAGAGAAATATAAAAGGCCGCACCGCGCCGTTCTGACGACCTCGGAGTCGCTTAAGGTCTGGGTTAAACTATTCTCGTCGCGCATCGTTCCTTCCTTCTGATGATATCCAACCGATCGATCTGTGCGATCTGAATTTTCAGATCTTTAATCCTATCCTTGATCAAGACCGATCGATAGATCGATCGATCGATCCGATTGACAGATAAAATCAAATCGTGACGATCTTTGATAAATTAATACATGCATATATATACATATATATATATATATATATATAAATGTATATATGTATAACATGTATAATAAATTATCTCTGTCGTACTATGTGTTATAACATGTAATGATTATTTACGGTAATGTATTATTTATTGGAATAGAATATCTATCATTTCACATTGTACAATGTGATATAATATATATGTGTGTGTTATGATAATCTGTTATTTATTGCAACATAATTAATTATAATATGTGTATAAGTATGATAAAATGTTAATACATAATTTAATACGCACCTATATGATAAATTAACTTATGATTAGTTATTTGTATACTAATTACAATTATTTGAAATTTTATCTTGTATGATTTTAACAAACGGATAATTAACACTACCCACTATAATAAACGCCTACGTTATGTGTCAGGAAAAGAAAAATCATCGGTATTAATTATTCCTTTGCGATCATTGACAGCTAATCGTGAGATCAAAGATCATTAATGCAAATTGTACCTTCCTCTCTCTCTCTCTCTCTCTCTCTCTCTCTCTCAATAATGAGAATCGAGATTTCAAATGGAAATAAGTTATTACATTAATAACATTATTGACACATACACATATATATATAAGTATATGATTAATCTTGTATTATTACATTTGATCGATAAATTTTGTTGTCAAAGATTTAAAATTGGATGGAAGAAAGGAGATATTTTTTTTTGTGTTTTTTTTTTTTATCTAAAGACCAATGACCGATTTCTTCTTGTTAACTCGTATTGCTACGAAATGAAAAATTTAAAGAGACAAGAAAGAGAATTTGTGCGTTTTATATGTTTACATATACATATGATATTTATACATCCGGTAATCGAAAATGTAGTTGTCATTCTTACTATTTTATATTTATCATTTACTTTTTGTAAAAAGTCATAAATTTAACTAACAAAATTATTCTATTGTATATATAAATATACGTGCACTCGTACACTAACACACATATATGTAAATATATAATTTTGACTACGAACAAAAAGAAAAATCGACAAAAACGTCAAATCATTTGACAATCATATTCCAACAAGAAAAGGATTCTATAGAATTCTTTTATTTATAATAAATCGTTGATAAATTTTCTTCCATTGAAAAAACCAAAAGATGAAGAACAAAAAATACGCTCCTCGCAGAGAAAAATAAGAATCTTTTCGTGTAGATCACGATCAACGAGGGGAATGGGAGGGGTGGAGGAATAATACATCGATCGATCTTGTTCAGACTTTTAAAAAAAGAATTGGTAAGAAAAAGAAAAAGAGATAGAAAGAGAGAGAGAGAGAGAGAGAGAGACAATACCGAGTAGTCAGCGCGAAATTTGACGGTAGTTGGCCTGCAGACGCCTAAAAATAGCAAATACAAACATTATATAACGTAACGTTCCCCAACTTTACGATAACGAAGGTCGGATTTATCTCGTTACTCCGCAAATTCGAGGTCGATCTCGCGCGGTGGCCTTCCGATCAAATCGCGTCGTCGTCGTCGTCGTTGTCATCGTCATCGTCGTTGTTGCTGCTCTAACGCGCGCAAAAAATAAAATGAAACGAGAAGAAAAAAGGGGGAAAAAAAAGAAAAAAGAAAAAAGAAAGAAATAAAAGGAAAAACAACGAGAACGAGAGAAAGAAAAAAGATGAAAGAAGAGATAAGAAATAGATTCTTTAATTGTCCCCCTGTAACCCCCCCAACCCTGTACATACGATTCGTTTCTTTAATTTTGTTCAACGTTATATATATGTATGTATGTGTGTATGTGTGTATGTGTATGCACAGGATAGGTAATCATATTTATTTACAAATTTGTTTATTAGATATTATTTTAATGATTTTTCTCTTCAGATAGATATTTAAATAATGAGGAAAAGAAATAAGATAAGAACTTTTAATATATAAAAATACATATATGTGTGTGTATAACGAATGAATGAATGAATAATAATGATAATAATATCAGATTGCATTTGCATATCTATATACTTGTTAATTAAAAAAAAGAAAAAAAAAAGGATTAAGCACAAAATAAAAAGAATGAAAATAATTGTTGGCGATGTTAGATTACGAGAAGAGTAATATCGACAAATGTTAAAAACAAAAGGGAAAGAAGAAGAAATAAAAAGAAATGGTGACAAAGTGACTAAAAGCTTACCTGAATAAATCTCAGAGAATCAAGCTAGAAGAGAAGAATATACTTGAAGAGCGTGTCGAAAGTTTACACAGTGTTGGAATGTGTCTTGCTCTTAAGAGAAAGAGAAAGAGAGAATGATGATGATGACGATGACGATTATGATGAATTTCTTCTTCTTCTTCTTCTTTTTCTTCTTCTTCCTCCTCCTCTTCTTCTTTTATTTTAATCGGAAAACGCGATCGAAGGATATATTAAAAGGGAAGAGAAAAAAAAAAAAAAGAAAGATAGAAGATAGAACAAAATTTTCTTTCAAATATACCGGGACATAATAATATAAAATATCTTTACTAATACAATAATATTGAGAGAAATATTGCAAAATTTTTCCTTTTCTTTCCTTTTTATTCACCAGATGATATTTCTTTTAATATTTTTATTCAGACGATGACATAAAAAAAAAACAAAAAAAAATGAAATAGTGTAAGGTAGGAGAGAAAAAAAAAACTAAAAAGAAAGAAATAATCGAGAAAAAGACGAAAACAAAAAAAAAACAGAGTGCAAATTATTGATCGCGAAATCGGGATTGGGGATCGAGATCGATCGATCGATTTATACAGAAAAAAAGAAAAAAGAAATAATAAATGACGATGAGCGCGGTGCGAACGAGCGCGTAACAAAACTACCGACTCTGTCCGCTCGCACGCATCGACTGAACGCGGATCCTCTCCACACGCGTATCGAACCACGGATCTTGCTAACACCATGAGTCTCTCCCCCCTCCACGAGCACCTACACCACCGGCACGCCGTTTGTCTCTCTCTTTACCGATATTCCTACACTGTTCTACCACTTTAGTACCTACTACTCTACTACATATCCTTATATTTACTTCGAAGGACGCATTATTGTCATTGTGCTCGACACTACACGATAATTACCATAAATATTCCCTCTCTCTCTCTCTCTATCTCTCTTTTTACTTTTCTTTTTCTTTTTCTTTTTCTTTTTCTTTTTCTTTTTCTTCTTTTCCTTCTTCTTCTTTTTACCACTATTATTAATATTATTATTATTATTATTATTATCGTTTTTGTATCTAACGAATTACACGCAAATATCAATGAATGTTGAAAGGTTTATCCAAACTCGCGTATTTTTATGATACTAATTCCTATTTTTGGTTTTTCTTTTCTTACATTATTATCTCATTTCAATGTAGATAGAATGATTATTATTTAATATTTGATAATATACAAATTTATTAATAGAAAGTAATGAAAAATAATAACTATATAACGAAAAATTATATGTCGGATTAAATTTTACCCCATTACATAATATGAAATTTATTTTATTTTTATTAAGTGTTAAATTACTTAACTTTTAAAATGACTTAGATATCGGAGAATATACATTACGCATATGTATTATATATGCGAAAAAATAAAATTTGTACAATTGTAATTTGTTTTATACAAACCATATTATATAAAATATTCGCATATTCTACCGTGATGAAATTCTTTGCTACAAGTTCGTAAATTTAAATGCATCTAATGCTAATAATTTGGCTTCTTCGTATACTCCAAAAAATATAAATCCTCCTATGCTAATCCACATTATTCTATAATTAACACCTGCGAAAAGGCTACAAAATATATATAGTTTTAATTATTAATTAATTATAAATGTTTTTTCAAAAAGTTCATTTTTGTTTACCCATTTAATCCTTCTTTGGTATATATTGCACGTAATGTTGTAGATAATTTGAGATCGGAACTTTGTACCATTTTATTAGCTAACATTATTCTTGTCTTTGCAACATCCAATGGAGTAGTTAAGGCGGCTGAAAAAGCACCTAAAATTATATTTTATTATTATCAGTTTATATATTTATATACAGTGCAATAGTTTTGGATATATGATACCTGCCAATGACCCACAGGTTGCACTTTCAAAAGGATATACATCTCTTTGTACATAAAGGGACAAAATGTTCTTAAAATACTCCCATAGTGGAAATTGTATTAAACTAAATGGCATATCTCTTAATACTGTACTCCAGTAACCACGATACAAAAACTTCATACTGAAGTTACCCTGATCCAATAAGTAAGCCTGTTTTCTTTGTTTCATAACTTCTACTGGTACACGTACTATACATGCTACCTTTTAAAATATCAATTTAAAATATTAATTCTTTGTTAACAAGTACTTATTTAATTCTTTAAACGATATAAGAATATATAAAAATGAAATACCATTTCTGATAGCGATGCTGCCCCCATATGAATTAGAGAACGGTATCTTTCGGATACCAAAGGTTGTGCATATACTTTGGTACTTTCATAGGTAACAAAAAATAGTGCAGCTACAAAACACATTAATGACATTGTATTTCAATATAAAATTAATAAGTATGAGGCCTTTTATTTATTTACCTGTTGGCGTAGAACCTATAAGTACTGGATATAAACCACGATAGAGTCCTTTAAATCCACCTGATTGTAGGAACCCATGCTGACTTTGTAATCTAGTCTTTATTGTATCTATTGGAAATAAAATTGTATCCACGCAAATTCCTGCACTAGCTCCTGCCTGTGTTATAAAAAATAACTAGAAATTAACTAAAAACCAATGTATATATTAAATACAACAAATTTATTAATTATAAAAATATTTATTACAAATAATTTTATTACTTTATAATAATATAATTAATTATTATAAACTTCTAAGAAATTTAATATATGTTTTTATTACAATTCGTTGACAGGTTATACAGTCAGTGGTTGATGCAATATTGTATGGTCATAAAAATCAAATTTTACTTACAAATATAGATGTAAACAATATATTTCTACCAGAGAAGTTTTTCAAATTCTTCTCGTACGATGTCATTTCATATTTTGTGGATGAAATATAATCAAATGTTAAAAAAGTTTCGATTCTGCATGGATTCACTTTATAAACAATATCTCGAATCGTATCGATTGTGATTCTCGAATGGAATACTTGCGATTATCGAATGTATGATCATAGTTTGTAAATATCGAAAATATCAAAAATATCGAGAATATCGAAAATATAAATAAATTTAAAATTCAATAAATGCTTTATCTATATATGAATTTGATATTTTACTATAATTAAAAATAAGATAAACCTATCTATTATAAGATTAAGTTATTTATTACCCCTTTTCTAGTTTTTTAGTTATTTTTAACTTTTATTACAAATTTATAATACAAATTGTTCTAATTTAAATATAATAATGGAACAATATATTTGCAATAAATGTTATTGCAATAATGTTAAAAATGATCATTTTAGATTGACTCAATGTGGACATATTTTTTGTCATAACTGTATAAGAAAAGGTAATGTTAAATAAATTATAAAAACAGGATTACATATTATGTAACAAACCATAATAAAAACTTATATTTTATTTTATAAAATTGTAACTCTTAGAAATATTTAAGAAATATACTTATTTTGTCCTATAGTTAAAGAAAACTGTCCTGAATGCAAATCTACAAAAATTGTAACCGTGCCGCTTACAAAATCTTTAACACCAGAAATATCAAGATTTTTTACACCGTTAGGTGATATTTTAACAACACTAAAGCCTATAATAACTTTCCAATCTGAACAGACAAACATTATTTTGCAATGCTTCAATCAGCTAGTAAGTTTTATTTCTTCTATTCTCTTTACTTTATTAAATAATAATTCTATTGCCTTTTTCAATGTCATTAAATAATATTTCAGGACAATAAATATGAAATCTTAAAGAACCGTTATGTTAATGCTGTTCGTAATGAAAAGCAAATAAGTTATGAATATTGTAAATTGAAGAAAACTTTGGAAAGTTTAAATAAACAATTATTGTATGTGCAAATGCATAATAATAACAGTAAAGCAATTGCTGCAACACCATCTTTAACAAATGATAAATATGCTAACGCTCAATATACTACAATGCAAATGTACGATACTTCTATGTCGGGATTAGATTCTTCGATTAAGAACAAACAATTTAAAAGAAATGTTTTTATGTTGCAAAAGTCAACCAATAATAGTTCTATTTCTATCTCCGATAAGAACTCCTTATAAGTGTAAACAAGGAAAATATCAAATGATAGATCTTTTTTTTTACATTACATAATTGTTATATTATCAATAGCCACTATACTTGTTAATTAATTATAACAGTAAGATTACTAATCTATATAATAAGAAATATTTTTAAGTTTTTCTCAAATTTAAAAATGATTTTGTTAATTCAATTAATTAGTAGAATAATAAACTACAGAAAATTTAAATTATAGGTTAACTAAACAATTAACTAGCAAATTCTTTGACAAAAAAAGCATAACAATTTTAATGCAATGAATTTAATATCAAGGCACCGAATTAATTCCTACACATTAATTATATATATATATATATAATATGGTATATATATGACCACTTTTAAAGCATACGACCTATTGGATAAATCGATTATGACTAACCAATAAAAGTTTATTTATTTTTCATTATTATATAATAGATATAATTTGAAATAATTCACATATTTTAAATAATTTCTTTCTCTATAAATAAAAACTTGTATTATTTATTTTAAAACGTTACAAGCGCTTAAAAGAAATGATTGAATTTCATTCATAACTGTGTGAAAGAAACACACACAACGTAACACAAGTATAACTTTATATAAGTTGGATATAATAATGTTTTTTAATAACTATTATGATAAATATAAACGAATTAAGATAGATATATATTGTTAATATTAAATAATATAAATTGTTTTATTTATTTTTACATTGTTTTCTTAATAATTTGATATGTATATACATTGCAAACTAAGCTTAAGTATAATAAAGGCCATGGTACTATGGACTACTACTACTACTACTCTAGTAACTGCTAGTAACGGATCATTGAACAGATTGTAGTCAGTTGAAGGGTAGCAACTAGGAGCTAATTAGATTCAGTTAGAAAAAAAATCAAATGTTTATTATTATTACGTACTTAGTAGAAATAAATGAATACATTATTTAAAGTTCCAAATATTAAATTATATCAAAATATATAATTACATTACACATACTTTTTATAAAAAATATATGTACATGTATATGTATATATATTTATGCATTTATGTTAAAGTCATCAGAAAATAAATGTGAATAGTTATTTTGTGTTAAAATTGTCTTTATAAGTTAAATTCATTTAATAATTCTCTATATTTATGAAAAAGATATTTTTATTATTATTTCTCTTGAATGAGTGTTGTTTTTTTGTTGTAATATAAGATTGTGAATTTGAAGAAAGAAAAAAGAAAATGTCAAATTTCAATATTAATTTAAAAGTGTGTTGTGTGACACGAGGTGATATAAGTGTACTCAACAAAGAAAAAATCTTTATCTAAAAGGAATTATTTCTTAAACATGTAATCTTTCTTCTTCGTCTGCAACATCGTATTATTGTATTTAAATAATGGTGCTTTGGATTATTTCCTTCACGGCAATTGTTTTGCACATTACTATTGTACAAAGTAGTATGTATTTTTTTTTATATTTTTATTATTATTACTTTATATCACAACTATCATATTATATATATAATTATTATTGTCATCTTTTATAGAGGTAGTACCACAAGGTTATTGCGCCTTTTATAATGGCAAAATATGCAAGAAATATCTCACAGGCATTGGAAAGGTATGGTTTAATAGTTCATTTGGTAATCCCGGTGGATTGTTGAACGAACAAATAACAACGAATTTATGGGAAGAAGTAATAGAAACTCTTGTAGAACCATGTCGTTCAGCAGCAGAAGTACGTATTTCTTTCATTGAATGCTTATATATATATTTCATTATCTGTAATGCGTTTATGTAATAATATTTATGGTATGGTTTTTATATTACAGCAAATGCTATGTTTATATGCCTTTCCACGGTGCCACGAGTTAGTAGGATTGCCATTATGTTACGAAGATTGCATAGCAGTACATCATTTTTGTTTCAATAACTGGATAATAATCGAGGACCAAAAGCAAAAAGGAATTTATATCCGGTCTCGTGGCCACTTTAGTTTACCAGATTGTCAAAGTTTACCAAGGATAGTTAAAGGAAAAGTAACTTGCTCGGAAGCTCATTTAACTGATATAAAAGAAGAACTTGTTACTTGTAAGCTCTACCGAATACATTTTTAATGTAATTATCTTGAAAAATATGTCATTTTTATTTGAAATATATATTTTATAGATGACTGTATCAAAGATAATGGTAGATATTACATGGGAAAGTTAAATAAAACAAAGGGTGGATTAGATTGTCAACCATGGAGTGCTCAGTTTCCACAAAATCACGACAAACCACCAGATATTTTTCCACAAATTCAAAAGGGTGAAAATTATTGTAGAAATGTAGATGGCATTGAATCTATGCCATGGTGTTTCACTATGGATCCTGATACACGCTGGCAACATTGTGATATTCCTATATGTGGTAAAATATTTGTGTAAAAAAGCACATTTATTTTATAATTATTTTATCTTATTGTTAGTTATAAACGTTAAAGCATCATTATCTAATTAATATTTTGATTTTTCAGATAATACCACAAATACAATAATTGAAATTGACCCAAAAGATTTGGCTGTATATACGTTTATTACTCCATCATTTATATTAGCACTCTCTGTATTGGGATTTATAATCATTGCTGGAACTTTTATTTCTATACTTTTAAGGCGAAGACTTCATAAAAGACATCAAGGATATAATCAGACTGAAAGTCAGGTATACATATTTATATACACCCACACAGTGACAATATACAATTAAATGAAAAATACTATACTTTTCTATTGTAATATCTTTATAGGATGTTAACATTGATTTAGACAAATTGCCAAGCAATGAGGCATACCACAAAACAAGTGCGAAGCTTAATCCAAAATTGGAAAAACTCGAATTTCCACGAAATAATATTATTTATGTACGAGATTTAGGTCAGGGTGCCTTTGGTCGAGTATTTCAGGCAAAAGCACCTGGTCTAGTGCCAGGTGAAGAATTCACAAATGTTGCGGTGAAAATGTTGAAAGAAGAAGCATCAGATGATTTGCTTGTAGATTTTGAAAGAGAAGCATGTTTACTTGCAGAATTTAATCATCCAAATATTGTTAAGTTGTTGGGTGTGTGTGCATTAGGACGTCCAATGTGTCTCTTATTTGAATACATGGGACGTGGTGATTTAAATGAATTCCTACGTTCTTGTTCACCTGGAAATTACATTATTCGAAGTTTAGAAAGAGATGGTACATTCACAGATTCCCAATTATCACATATGGATTTAATTAATATAGCTTTGCAAGTAGCATCCGGAATGGTATATTTATCAGACAGAAAATTTGTACATCGAGACCTTGCAACTAGAAATTGTTTAATAAACGATCAAATGATTGTGAAAATAGCAGATTTTGGATTATCTCAAAAAATATATCTTCAAGATTATTATAAAGGCGACGAACAAGATGCTATCCCAGTTAGATGGATGCCTCTTGAGAGTATACTTTATAACAAATATACTGTTGAATCTGATGTTTGGGCTTTTGCAGTATGTTTGTGGGAAATATTTAGTTTTGCTCTTCAACCGTATTACGGTATGACTCACGAAGAAGTTGTTAAATACATCAAAGAAGGCAATGTTCTCCAATGTCCTGATAATACACCTTTATCAATATATGAATTAATGAAACTTTGCTGGAATAGAAGACCATCCGACAGGCCTACATTTAGAGCAATTTATGAAAGACTCGATACAATAAAACACGAGATAGAAGCAGAGAATAAAACAGACAGCGTGGCTTTGCGCATTCACGTCTGAATACAAATGGAGCAGTACATCATTATTTATATATATATATATATATATATATAAATGTAATAACTAATATATTACTTACTCGACACACACATTAAAAAGGTAAGTAATTATTAAAATGTAAAATGTAAATGTTACATACAAAGGCCTTCTTTGTTATATTTGTTATGTCAAGTTAATGGCATACAGCTAAGAATATTTATAAAAAGAAAAAGAAAAAAAAAAGAAAAAGAAAATGTGGCTATTACATATATTAGTAATAACTTTATTGATCTGAGAATATCTTTAGCAAAATGCTTTTTAAGTACATGCGAAATTTAAATCATAAGTTTTACTGTTTTGTGGATAAAAAGTGTAGTTTAATATCCTATCGAATAGATGTATACAAACAATTTATATATCTTTACATATAATGAAAAAGTGATGTATTTAAACATTATGGCTTAAAATATCGTTTAAAATTTTTAAATATTAACAATTGCAAGAACTGGAAAAGATTCTTGTGGAATTGATCAGCTATTTAAATCACACTATTGCAATGTAAATTGTCAAAGTTTTTCATTTTATATATATTCTATTCTATTGTCCTAGCCATTTGCATTTATAATCGGTAATGTGTGATATGAATATGAACGACTATTATTTAGCAAATATACATACAAATAACCATAAATATTATAGAAATGTTTTAGTATGATTGTAAATGGTCACTGCCCTAATATATATATTTACATTTTCTATATCTTTACATGTTTTGCTATGCAGATTTATATGTATATTATGCAACATTCCAGAGTAATATGTGAATCATATATAATCAATATTATGCAGAAGGTAATGCTTTAAAAAGAGAGATAGTCTTTATACAATTTCATAATGGAATTATTGAATTAGTATGTATATACATACAGTGGTAAACATAAGTATTGGTAATAAAACATTCTAGATAAAGATTCATAAAAAGAACAAGCGTTATAAACAATTTGTTTCAGCATACTGTGCCAATACATACGTTTACCACTGTATGCGTATACATTGAAATTAAATGCATTTTTGTTTACCCACAAAGTATATGAGTATGTATGAACTTACATTTACTTGAAAGAATACTTACATTCCATTTTTTTCCAAGTTATTTTAATAAATTATTTAAAAATAGAATTATACTTAACACTGAGATAGAAATAACACACGAGATTTATTAATTTAAACTCTGAATAAATATAACTGAAGACTGAACAAAAGATATACGACCAAAGTGAAGAATTATTTTTAAGATCCTGTTAGTAAAATTATAGAGATTCAAAAAATTCGCAATGTAAAACTTGATTGTGTATTTTATTATGGTTTTGTCATTTGTGATAATATTTAAATTAGCTCTAATGCTTTGATCGCTCACAAATTTTTTTCTTGTTAAATATGTATATTAGATCGTTGCTATAGCAAAAATATAACTTAAATGTGTGCTATAAGAATTATGTCAAGAAAAATGACTATGAGGAATGTTAAACCAAAGAGAACATGTATGTAAGTGAGTATGTATACTGTTATATGTAAAATTTTGAAAGTAAATTATATTATGGTATTGTAAAACAATATAATGAATGTTCAAATCGCATATTATTTAATTAACGTATTACTTGTTTGACGACACAACATATACACATATTTGTTATACACGATTTTTATAGACTTTTCCAAAAATGTCAAAGCGTATTGTAATTAATTTTTGTTCACCTTTTAAATGCTAATGTTTTGTTCTCCGATAGTGTTTTTAAGTAATATTTTATTTAAATTGAACAAAGTGCTATTATATTACACTGACATTCCAACAAGAATCCATCAATTAATGAATATTTTTAGATAGATTTCTTTGTGTATTTTATATATATTTTATAATCATTTTAAACCATTTATATTATATATATATACCTAAATATATTTTACATATATAAAAACATAAACACTACCAAATTTCTACCAAGGTCAGCGCATCTAGATTGTTTTTTACTATAATACGTACGATCATGTATTGATACGATAAATGTTTACACGCAAGATGTATTGATTCGCATATACCTTCATATTTGTTGAGTATTAAGAAAATGTAATATGTGTATGTTCTAACAAGTACATCATTTACCATTGCATGTAACAATAAGTAAAAGTAAGAGATGCAAGATGATAATAATAATGGAACTAAAGCTCTTCTATATACCTTTTTATATACATTTTTGTAAATGAAAAAGGGGAAGACACCGATTCTGTGCTCTTATAACATCCACATACTTGTATCCTGCATAAGTAGAAAAAAAAAACTATGTAATACGATATACAAAGGTAATACACATTTTTAAGTGTATTGTCTCTGACCAAAAAAAACTTCTGGTATTATATAATTCGTTGATTTCAAATTTGTTATTGAAAATGTAGTCTCTATTCTGAATTTTATGTACAACAAACTCTATTACTTAATCTGTGAAAGCATTGAGACTCCACGACATTACATAACGTTTTTTTTTTTGTTTTCTTCTTTCAAACAAGTCATTCTGTTATATTTTTTTTTTTCCTTCCTAGGTTACAATTCGAGTGTGAATGTGTATATTTAAGATTTATATTACAAAGATATATTTGTTCCATAATTATAATATTAACGATTACTCTATGTAAAGCTCCATAAATGTGTCAATTTTATATTATTTTTTATCCATGAAATATTTTTATTATCAATGTGTAGATCACGGAGTCAACAATGATTGCAAACTTGTTAAAAAGAAATCTGCTACAAACTTTTACTGATGTACTTTTACAAAAAATAAACAACCACTTTCATACTTATTGTTTTTTATTTAACTCAGCCTAATAAAAAATATAGTATAGGATGAGAAAAGGATATATATTATCATGAGAGAATTGGTGTAAGATTAATTTTAACTTCATATCGAATTAATTTACAGTTAGAGATATTTAATTATGTATTTATTTATTTGTATTAATAGATATTTATAGATCTTTACGTAAAGCTCTTATTAATTAATTAATATATGATTTTTATATGATATAATTGATATATTAGGTTCTTTTATATTTAGCAAAAACTTAATAATATGTATATGTACAAGTACAAGTAAAATTATTATTTTATAAGATTCATTTATTTATATATATTATTTTTTAAAATTAGTATAACACACACACAGACATAAATTTCATTCTTAATTAATAGTTATTTATTGGATGTAATATGAACTTATTAAAGAAAATATTTAATAAAACAAACATTATGTGCATATGTAAATGTTATGTCAGATTTAATTAATAATTCCGTACATATACACAAAATTTAATTTAGACTATAAGACAATATAAGTTTTATGCAAACAAAATTGCTTAAAAATATATAAATAATAAGTTATATAGCAAATTATTTTTATAATCAATCTATAAATACTTGTTATATATAAATTGCATAAAAATTGATAAAATATTGACTACGTACATATGTACATAATGTTGTTGAACACACACACACACAACCTATTTAATATATAAAGAATATCTCTTAAATTTTACTCTTAAAAAGAATAAATATAATAATTCTTTGGTTTTTAATTTGATTTAAGATTCATTGTTAAATATAAGTAACTACTTATTAGTATAAATGAAATACATAATTAATATTATTTTTCTAATTTTTTATGATTATTTAATGGAACATTTAATTATAATGCTCTTTTTATCTTTAATTCCTATTCTCTTATTTGTTGTATTTACGTTTACTTTGTGCAAATGATATTTGCAATATTCTAAATGCATGTATTTAATCATCGACTGCATATATAAGTATTTGGAAAGATAAGTTTCTCTATTAATTATTATATTCTTTAGTTTTTATTATGTTCGATCCTACTGTGTATAAATATGAATTGTATTGTAAGTGGTTTATTGTAATAAACCACTGTATGTAATGATAACATGTAATTTTGTGTTAAAAGGATTATTATTAATTAATTAATTAGACAGAGAAAGAGAGAGAGAGAAAGAAAAAAAGGGGGAAAAATGTGATATAAATGTAAGATAATATATTTGATAAATACTGATAATATATATCTTATATGATATTACCTCAAGATAAAAATTATTTAATATTTATTACGCGCGTACTTCATAAATAATATTTACCTTTTGAAAGCATATAGGAACTACCAAAGAATACTGGTTATAAGTTAATGCTTGATAATACTTATGATTGCAGTACATAATTTTTAGATTTAAAAACTTAATAACTTATTTGAATTATACATTCTGATATTATCTTCCACTCATAAGTGTACTTATATATATCATATAGAGGAATGTTGCATCAGAGTTTTTTTTTTTGTTCTCATTAATAATTACAATGATTTTATACAAGGATCATTTACCATGCATTAATCAAAATGCGTCCTTTATATTTTGAAATTGACGTACAGCTAAGTCAACTGGCAGATCAAACTTATATCTCGTAAGTTTGTCGAGAGTGTGAAATGCGTCTTGAAATCCTAATGGTAAAAAAGGAGAAAAGAATAATGAATATTCATTATGACATATAAAGTAAATATACGAAATTAGATATACCTGTTTTCACCACATAACTCCATGACGTGTAGTGACATTCTAAAAGATATTGGCATTGTAAAATGAGCTTTAGCCAAATCACCAATTTATTTGCGCTAAAATTAAAAAATATAATTCATTTAATTCTATAATTATTCACAGTGTTGAGACAGAAACAACAATTTCACTTACTTTAAAGCAGCACATATAAATGCTTTAAAATGTGAATCACGACTCCGTTTGTAAGGATTATGCGAAGCAATAATGTTACCTATAGTAGTTAGTAGACTCTAAAAATAATAAATTAAATACGTTCAAACTGTAACTACGAATTTTTTGTATTTATTTGTTAATTATTAATTGATTGAATGAAGCAAAAAAAATACCTGTTTGGCAGAAGTAGCTTTACCGATAAGATCTAAATTAAAACTTTGCGATAATTTTTGTGCAGGACTGGAGTTAT